TGCGATGAACAGAGGATGTCAAGGAGACGTTATGCTCACAATAGACGATTCTAATTTCCACCGATTAGACGGCCAGCATAGCGGCCGCAGGCCGCTAGTCGTCTTTAATTCTCGATTACCTTTCTCGACTGATTCATTTCCTCCTTACTCTTCATCCTTCCTTCCTTCAGGTTTGTAGCAATGATTCTCCCTGTCGACTCATGATCCTGGAATTACATTTCGTAGAAATGCTACCACCTTCCGCCTGTGCACACTAGGTAGAAGTTTGGCAGCTCTAGCTTGTTCGAAGGCCGCAAAAATACCCCGCTTTGATTGAATTGTTAATTCGAACATTGGAAATGACATCATAAAAAAGAACAAATTTTGGAGAGGTGGTGAAGCAACCCCCTTGATGGGGCACATATTCTCTCGTCCCCATCTGAGGATTGCCCCCCCCCCCGCCGAGGCTTTTCCATAATTGGAACAATTAAGAAGGAGTAATACATATGCCATCATGGTGGAGTTTGGTTCCTCCGACTCCTAGTTTTTCATTTGCAAACTTCCTAAATGTGCACATTTGTATTGACTTTATTTTGCTCGATCTTGAGCGTTTTTGCGGTAGCGAGATATGACGTCTGTAACGCGAACCAAACTTTATTGAAATTAACTCATCGCTCCTGAACTCATGTATTGTAACTACGTACCAATTTTCGATCTTAAGTCGATAAGTCAAATAATATGTGCGTGTAAGGTCGTCTCAAGTAATTTGCTGAGAATTACGCTTGCCTATTTGCTGAGAATTACGCTTGCTCAGCCTATTTAAGCTACCATTCTTGCCTTTGGAAACATACGCTATCGTTTTTATGTCCTCTTCCAAGCCTTCTTTCTTTCTTTCTTTCTGGACTATTTGGTGTCCTTTCACTTCAATGATTTCATCTACATCATGAAAGAAAAATTCGTATAGCGATGCCATTTCATTATCATTCTCTGTTTTTTTTTTTAAGACAAAAGAACGGCGGAGGCGGTAATCTCGTGAACGGGACGTGGGACGGTCACATCGGGATGGTCCTGGACGGGGATGCCGAGTTTGCCGTGGGGAAAGTCTCCCAGACCTCGATAAGGAACCAATACGTGGATTTCACCACTCTGGTCTCCATCGAGACGAATTCCTTCATCGCACGGAAGCAGCAGCTCTTGCCGTACTCCAGCACCGTCTATCGACCGTTCACCGTTCCCGTCTGGATCTTCTGCGCTATTTCCATCGTCGCGATGGGTATCACGTTTGCAATTCTCAAGAAAAGATCGTTCAAGGACCTCAAGGCTGATGACGAAATCTTAAAGGCTTACGCTACATTCATGGCCAAAGGAATTCCGAAACTGGATGGCTTAGCGGGAAGAATGCGGTTCATCTGGGGGGTTTGGCTTCTTTCTTGCCTCTTCGTGTCCCTCATATACAGTTCCGTGATATCGAGCTTCATCATCTCTCCTGGCTTCACCCGGCCGATCAATACACTGGAAGACGCCGTGCAGAGAACCGATCTCCCCTTCAATATTCACCTCTACAATGACGTGTTGATCAATAACTTTCGGGAATCCAGCAATCCAACGTACAAAACAGTAGCCAGCCGCCTGAAATTGCTTCATCCAAACCAAGTTCGCATCGGCCTCGACAGCATGTACATGGACGTGCGCTTCCAGTTGGAACTGCACATTTGGAAACTGAGGAAAGCGGGGAATCCCGTATGGACGGAGCTCCGCATTGCCGACCAAACGTTCCTGGCGTTGCCTTCGGCCTGGCCCATCCGCAAGTACAAGCCCTACAAGCACAAGATGGACCTCTTCATCCAGCACTTGCACGATGCGGGGCTCTTCAAGAAATGGATGGCGAATAGCATCGTCTCGCTCGGGGGCTATTTCCCTCTCAAGGATGTCGTCAGCGTCGCGGCTGAGGTCAATCATGCTTCTTTCGGGATCGTTCACGTTCAAGGCACCTTCTATGCTCTTGCGTTTGGATTGGCCTTGGCGTCTATTTCTTTCATATTGGAGCTCCTATCTCCACCGAGAAACAAAGGAAGATTGTGCAAACATTGATGGCACGATGATGTCATTTTCAAAGGTGCAAATCCGACTCGTAGTCGTAGGCAGGCACCCTGCCTCCCGTGAGTCCCACCTTCACAGTCGATAGGGAGCTTTAGTTGCCTGAATTTTCATAGTAAATTGAATGACACAGAATCCCGCTTCAATGGCAGTATACGATACCGCGATACGGCAGGAATCCTCAAGCCAACACCCTCTTGCAGCAAGTACACAGTACTACAACTCCAGAACACGTTACTGTACCGTGGAGGTTCAGGCGCCACTCCGTTTCACCCGGTACCAAAAATTACGGAAATTCTCACTTCTCCCTTTTTAACGTATCCACCGAGGTGATGTGAAGTCAGTGTCGCTTACCCATCTACGTTCATGCTCAGCACGCGCAGCTCCATTAACAATAAATCTCGTTCAGATACGGGCATGTGAGAAGCTCTAAGCTTCAATCTTGGATTGTAACTACTGGTACGAAAGCTACTCATTCTCCAACACGAGTATGCATGTGGTGCGAAATTACCGTAACCGAAGTTCTCAGTTGCTTTCATCGTGAAACTTCTGTCTCATCCCCACCCCCACTCCCACAAAAAAGAAAAGTATATATTCTGGAAAGGATAAGGAACACTTAAGTTTCTTCGCATCTTCATCTTTAGTATGACGCTAGCACCATCTTTCGTGCACTTCTCTCGAGGCAATTGTACGCTGGGAAAAAACCATCCCATTTGAAATGGCACTTGCGGTGTAGATTTAGGGAGGCAATCACATCATGTGGCCTTGATGTCAAGTATTTTTTTTTAAGACTTTTTTTCGTGCATTCTCTGTGTGTCGTATCTTTCTCAAAAAGTTGCAAAATCTCTGCTCGAGCAAATATGCTGTTCTTTGTATTTCTCCTTACATATATTTCTTTTTTCATTCACATAAGTTCTTTTGCTAATACCCTTCCCTCATTGCATCAAGATGGCCCCCCAAAAACTTATCGAGTGAACGAAATCCAAGACTTTAATAAAGCTGCCGATTGAAACTGAATCCAAGAGCATAGAGAGCGTCCCGTACTTACCATTCAGTCTTCATTCCAGATCGAAATGAAGGAATTCATTAATGGACCTTCCTCGATTAGTGAGCTGAATTCCCGAAACCTCGAAAGATTTCCCTCTCGATCCACGTTTTACTCGAGCCGAATGCTGAGCCACGTATATATAGTCATGGTCAAAGGTAAGCACTATCAAAAAGGATTTGCGCTACGATGTTGCTCATCATGAGTAGCCGCCAATTTGAAAGGTCACATAAAAGAGTGCACATGGGCATGAAATCATAATTTAATGGAAAAGATGTCACACACTTATTTTATTGTCAACTCACTTGTGATGAATGTTAAATGCGTGTACATTGTGGACCGCGTAATCATCTGGCGATTACTCTTAAGCAATAATTTGTTTTTCTTTCGTGATGGAACTTGACTACGAAAGTCCGGTGTTCTTGGCAGGTCAGACGAGACATTTGGAGCTTCTCATGGGCGAGAAAATGATGTAAAGCAGGACGTGAAATTTATTTTCCTCAACAAATTTCAGAAACCAAGAAAATTAGTTTAATATTTAAATTTGTTCAGAAACACCAGTGTCTCACGGGAAATTTTTAAGGAGAAATACATTGATTTTGGATGTCACCGGAAAAAGTTCCACATCTACGGTCTATTCAAACTGAGCTCACCTTGGCATCAATATCGACAGTCTCCGAGGCTCATCTCTCATTCATCCGCCAAAGCCACTCACATTCAGGGAACCCTTCACGTCTCAAGGTTTATATAAAGTTTAATATTAAGGTAATGGACCATGAAACACACGGTAGGTGAAGCCTCGTTAAAGACTCGATATCGTGTCTCGAAGGGAAGATTCCTTCATGCGAACCGTGGAACACGTGAATATCATGGTCGGTTTCTCTTGTGCACACAGATCCGGAATAGGTAATACATTAAGAGGATGAATTACCTATTCCGGATATATGCAGCCTTCCTCCATGAAGCTGAAGACCTCCAAGGGACCGTCATGGTCATTCTTGTCACTTCCACGCTCAGTTTCGCTTCTTTGTGCTCTGTGAAAACAAGGCTAGGATTGCGGATCGAGAGGACAATCGAGAAGAATATCGTCATTTCGCTGCTCCTTCGTCGTGTCCTCCACCCATCCTTGGAGTCGTATCAACAGTTATTCATTATCAGTGAAATAGAATATCCAAATGAAGGAATGAAGACGTGACGATCTGATGCGAACGATCCTCATAGACATGGTCAAAATGATCATCAAGGGCTTCAAGGCCACGATGTTGCTCAGTATGGAAGGTCATACAATATAGTGCATTTAGGCATGAAATCGTAATTTCATGGAAACTATCCCTGCCAATTGTTTGGCTGTCAATTCCCTTTTGATGAATGTTAAATGCGTGTAAAACGAGTGCCACGTAATCATCTAGCGAGTAGTCGTCAACAATTGTTTGATATTTCCTTCGCGATGGAATTTGACAGCGAAAGCACGACGTTCTTGGCAGGTCAGACGAGACATCTGGAGCTTCTCGTGTGCCGAAAATGATATAAAGCGTGAGGCTGAGATTTCTTGAGGAAAACCCCATTGAGAAACCAAGGAAAGAAGTTGAATACATTTGTTCAGAAAAAAAACCAGTGTCTCATGAGTAATTATTATGAAAAAATATATTGGTTTTGGATGTCACCGGGAAAAGTTTCCTCGTCCTCCTCAAACTGAGCTCACCTTGGTGTCTATCGACCGTTTCTGGAGCTCATTTCTCATTCATCCGCTACGACGATCATTCACCCACCAAAGCAACTCAGATTCAGAGAGCCCGTAATGTCTCAAGGTTTACATGAAATTAAAATGAAGCTAGTGGACCTTGAAACACAGGGGAGTTCAAGCCTCATTTAAGACTCGATGTCGTGCCTCGAAGACCCGATTCCTTTATGCAAACCGCGGAATACGTGACTCGCATGGCTGGTTTCTCCCGCATAAACAGATCCGGGAAACGTAATACATTAAGACGCCAACATACACCGTCCTCTTCAGCGAAGCTGAAGACCTCCAAGGAACGGTCATCTTCATCCTTTTCACTTCCACCCTCTTTTTCGCTTCCTTTATGTAAGCATGGCTTGAACCCTCTTGGGACGTAATCGAAGAGAATGTTTTTATTTCACTGCTCCTCCATCATGTCCTCCACTCACCTCTGAAGTCGCATCAACAGCATCATCAGCGAAAGGGAAGTTCCACGTGTGGAATTGGAGCGTGACGGCGCGAACGATATTCCGATTCATAAGAGAAGTGGAGGGGATCGAGTCTGCGAGATTACGAGCAACTCCTATTCGGCCTTGGATTCGGCCTTGAATGGGCTGACGAGGCTCTCAGGGCTCAGTCCCGTTTCATCCTAAATTTGGTGGACGGGCAAGGGCCTCGGATGGGAATTAAAAGGGAAATATGAAATAAAGTGAATTTGGTTCATTTGCCGAACAGTCCTGTTTTAGCGTCTGCTATCTGACTGTTGCTCTAAGCTCAAACGATCACTCACGTAGTATATTTGCTCGAGTAGTCAATGGATTCCTTCCTACATACATAAATTTCCTTGGCCGCTTTTCCCAACGTAATGGGGTCGCGGTTCGAGCATTCCCAGGAACGTCCTCCGGTGATCTCGATCCCGGGCAACAGACTCAAGGTGGGATGCCGAGCCTCTCGTGACAAAGCCGAGCGACGGAATCACTCCACCTTGTACGAGGTCTACCGACAGCTCTTTTGCCGGTCATCTCAGCCTGGAAGACTCCTCTTGGAAGCCTCTCAGGGGGCATGGCGTGTCGGAACCACCTGGCCTGTGAGACCTCTCGATCCGGAGAAGCAGCTGCTCGACGTGGGAACCCTCGCGGATGGTAGAGTTCCGCATCCGATCAGGGCGCGTTACGCCAGGCACTCGACGCAAGAACCTCATCGAGGCAGCTCGTATCCGCGATCCGGTGCTTTCGGTCTTTACCAAAAGTTCGTGACCATAGGTGAGGCTGGGGTTGTGTCAGTTGCAATGGACAGGACTACCCATTTTGATTCATGTTTTGAAAATGTGATTAACTCTTTATATTGTTCCTTTCCTGTGGTGTAACAGGACTATCACTGGTGGTGGAGAAGTTTCCTGACAAGTGGGAGTACTGCATTTTACCTCTTCATATACCGTGTCCACTACTTCACCAAGCTGGACGTCAAAGATTGGATCTCCACTTTCCTGTACTTTGGATACTCCTTCATGTTTGTCTTTCTCTTCTTCCTTCTCACTGGTAAGTCACATCACATGTATCCCGCACAACTTTCGAAATTATTGTATAAAAATAGCCTCCTGATTGAAAATTAATTAATCAAAATCAAAATGATAATACAATTTGAGCTGAATAAATCATTTAAATTAGCCTGGTGAAAAAGTCATCGGAAACATCACACTGACATCACAGGGACATACTTTTCTTTGGTCATGCACCATATTGACAATCATTATTTCTCCTCATAATCCTCCTCCTTAGTCCCACGTTTTTCCCATCGGCACAGACGAGAACCAAACCCCATGACAAAAACTTACCGAGGTTATCATCCGCATCCCATGGCATACCGCGCAACGTTGGCGCCATGAACAAATCCGTGACAGCCCACAACCCCTTTTGGTCACTGGAACTTGTCAAGCGTCAATGGCGGGTGGGTAGTCACAGTGGAATTGCATCATGAGACCAGGCAGGTATTTCATCGTGTTGTATGATGAAACTCGGTGCGTGTGGAAGCCCATGCAATTACTCATGACTCTTTTCGATGCATGGGAATACCGATAGAAAAGCATGAATAGGTATTACATGAAACTCCTGGGATATACATCCCAGGAGTTTCGGTATGATGTTAAGTTATCGATCTAGCAATATTTCTAGTTACTTTTGCACCAGCGCTCGTTCTCCAGGCGATAGAGAACACTTCAGTGTGCCGATGAGTTTTGTTGTCTGAGCTTTTTCAATCGAAAACTCTATTTGAAATAATTAGAACAATTCCTGCGAGGGGTGTTTCAAAGAATAACGAGACTGATCGGCCTTTGAATGAGTCTAAGTTCGTTGCTGCCTGGGAAAAGCAGGATATCTTCTAACATGTATTTGGCTTATTCTCAGAAAATGATTTGGTTGTAAGTTGGTGTGCCTGTTTAGGTAGGATCAGAAAAGGAGGTGTTATCAAATCAACGGATGGCATTCAATAATAAAATAAACCTTAGCTTTTCTTCTCGTAGCTTATAAAAAACACAAGTCCAAGTTTTTTGAACCTCCTTTTGTAAACTACGCTGGCTTTGTCGAGAACCCCTTGAGCCGAGAAGGGGGAGGGTTCAACAGACTTCATCACCCAAACTCATCGCACTTAGTTTCGTGTGACTTTTTCCCTGAGACAAATAAACGCTCCAGCTGATTGTGATTTGAGGCAGACAAGGAACTCGACAGTCTGATGGATATTCTGGGTGAAAAAATTTCCCTCGTTGGCTTTGCGGAGGTCTTAAAGAAATTAACGACATAATTGGAAGCGTGCATTCAGCAGGACAGAGAGGATCGTAGTAGAGCGAGTTCTGCGGCATGTTCCTTTTAATGGGCCTCCTTTCCTGAAAGGAAAGAGACCACCTATGGTCCCGTCCTGTCCTGTCCGTGTTCGTGTGTCAGTATCTCACACTTGAGTTGTCCGATGATAACTAAAATTTTTTCAGCCTAATCAATGCAAAAATTGGCAAATGGGCAGATATGAACAAGATACAGACTGAGTTCGTTTTATGGCAAATTTGCAGCGAATTTGGCATTTTTATTACTAATTTTGGGTTTGAAATTTGGTCACGGATGGGAAGGCATTCTTACCCGTTCGCCCTTGAAGCTCACACCACAAGACCACAATGCGCTTGCGCGTACGACCCAGCCTTTGAGCGCGGCGCCGTGTCAGAAACCGGAGCTGTCAGTTCCCTACCAACCTTCGTGGCGGACAGATCAAACCATGCGCAGTCCTCCATCCTCCCATCATCTTTTCCTGGGCACCTTTTGTATTAATATATGTTTACCGTATATAAATGAGAAATGAGGTTTTGATGGTGGACGATCGGAAAGAGATGGCATTTTGTTCAATTATGTGATAAAATGAGTGTTTCCTTAGCTGAAAGGAGGCCCAATACTGGACTGGACCTTGCCCAACTTGTTCTTTAACGGATCTAGTCTCGTCATATTTTGAAGACCCCTCGTGCAAAAAAGGCAATATAATGTGATACAGCTATGTTGAGGAGCGTGTTGGGGGCAAGTGGTGCTTGGTAGCTCGCCACTAGAAGGATTTTCAGTCTCATCGGTAACGATTGTCATTTCGAATTAAGCAAATGGAGAGATCCAGTGCATTTCGATGTTCTTTCAACATAGACTTTACCATTCTTACTACTTACTTACTTTACTTACGTTACTTTACCTATTCTTTACCATATATTAATACTTCGGCGTATGGATGAACTATTGCAATTCTATTAGACAATTTAAGTATGAAGAAGTTTATTTTCCATCTTTTCCTGGAAAGCCCCAACCCTTCCCTCGTCTGAGTCCTAGCATCTTCCGCTCTCCCAATCCAACCTGATTCATCTTGCTCTATATTTTCCTATTCCTGCCACGTGGTACTCTCAAACGATAGCCCGATTCCAACTTAGTTCACATTTGCGGCGAATTGTCATTTCACCTTGGTCATGAGTATACCGTCGTTTGAAATAATTTAAATGGAATTATCAAGAACTTGTTTCCCTTCTTTTTCAGGAACCATGGGCTTCATGGCCATGGTTTCTGGTTTTTGCGCAAAATCTACAGTGTTGTCAAGATGGACGATGGTATTTCTTGGTCTTCAAATTTTCAATCACACGGCTGTTCCCTTCATTTCTAGGCCTTTTCCTGCTTCATTCCCTTCCTGTCGGCGAAAGTATTTCGTTGCATGCAGACTTGAATCAACTGTGCAAAATACCATTCATGCAGTAGAATCCCTGAAGAGACAGCAGAATCTTAATTCCTCCGTCTCCTCCAATCGATGGGGAATCCCCTTTTGGGAGATCAATGCTTCAATGGAAATGCCGGTTTCTGGGGAATGTCGGCTCCCTCTTCCCCGGCAAAGATCTCGTTCCGAGGAAGAACGTCTATTAGGAAGACCGCACACTTTCGCTCTTGTAGCCAGTGTACAGGGCCCTGATTAAATTAACTCCCTTCTCCCGAGGCACCGAGCAGAGTAATTATATCTCTTCCCGCTCTTCTGCCTTTTAAAGCCTTATCGTCGTCCACCTTTGCAAGTTTTGCCTTTGGGAGATTTTTATACGCGCATCTCTCCAATATACTTCCAAGCATTAACGCAAGGTCATTCGATTTCGAGTAGGGTAAACGACCCTTTTTTTTGCCACTTTAGCCGCCAGTTTTTAGTCGCTCTGATGCGACTCCCATAGGAAGAGAACACTAGTAAAAGGTCCTCGTACGGGAAGATGTTGACAGAATGCTTGAAAACGGCCAGATTAACTAATTATGCTGGCATTAAGTCTCACCGGCCAACAACTGGAGACCGGCCAGAAACCGCGGTGCTTCCCCTATTTTTCTCTCGAGGTTTCGAGTTGCCACGCCAAGCAGCAGCAGAGTCAGGGACCACTGGACCTCCGCATCGATACGAGTAACGTCCGCTCATCGCCGAGAAAACGCAGCACAGTCATGCTGACTTCATGAAATCCTGCAAAGGAAAAGATTCAAGGCCTCGCGTCGACTCCCCACAGAAAAAATTTGCAAAATTCGGAGACTTCCTTCGATGCCAGTAAGGACTTCGTCACGAACCGTGTCAGTTGAAATCTTCACGATCGTAGAGAACTCGGAGAGGAAAACGCCGAGGCAACCTCGGCAACCTCGGCGTGCAGAAAGCGAATGATTTCTGCGAAGTCTCGGTACTTTGATGGCGTTCGGAGCAACGATTATCGCATTCCATCGCTTGCAGCTCACGTGCATTCGTGTTAATGTTAATTATGAAAATGTTAATTATTAAAACGATACGATGTATATCCAGCCCTTCAGCTTCAGCCTTCTCCAGTGACTGACGCTAAATCTAACTAATTCTAATTCTAAATGTTCCAGAAATGTTGAGGGGTCGAAACTTTGTACACGAATGGCTGTTAGATTCCTGACTCCAAAAAAAAAAATTATGAGGTGCATGTCCTGGGGATTTATTTCGAGGGGGACCGATTTCGCCTAACCCCCGGATGGACGTTTAGGCCAATATCGTTTTTAAGAACACTTTAAGCGCACTTTAAGCACACTATAACGAAACGGTGAACATGAATAGCTTTTGGAATATGGAGCGACGTATTTACTTGTGGGCAACAGTAGGAAGAGTTTTAAAAGAGTCCTTGTGCCAGAATATAGACCTGAATATAACGATGAAGATGAATATAACGATGAAGCTGTCCATAGTCCACAAGGAATTATTGAGTCGAGACGCCGAAGTGATGAGTTCATATGTGAGCTTCTACATATTATTTGAGATTTATATGCAAAGAGTGCATCAAATTCAGGCAGGAATTAAATTCACTATGTGAGCACTTACCGACGTATAGTGCTTTTTTATCTGGTGATCCTCGAGCGGGAAGTGACACGTCGTCACTATTAATACGTTAGTCGAGGAGTTTCATCGCATCGTTAGGGGTGAGCTTCGAAAACGGATGCTTTAAAGCCATAAATAATTTTCCTTATCAGAGAAAGCCGGCGAGTTTGTTTGCCCTCGTAAGATAAATACTTAGATGGAACACATGCTCCCTCGAACCGCTCCTTCGTTTGATGGATTCTGCTCGGGGGTCCGCGACGCACCTTGGTGCCCATGGCGACCGTTTCCGACGCTCATTTCTCATTCGGCGTTCAGTCATCCGCGCTGCATGTTCGATGAACGCAGATTAATGTCCTGTCTGTCGACCGTGAGACAGGCGGTGCCTCGAGCCTCCTCGAAGACGCGAACTCGCGTCTCGAAGGCGCGATTCCACATGCAATCTCTGAAATGCATGGCTGGTTCCCCCTGCGTACGCGGTCGCGAGAAGGCAACATATTAAAGGCGGCAACGTACATATTACAAGACTACAACATACGCAGTCTATGGTAGTGGAGCCGAAAGTCTCCGAAGTCGAAAGTCTCCCAAGGGCCATCATGATCCTCCCTTTCATTTCCACCGTCGTTTTCGCCTCATTGTGCACCGTAGGAGCAAAGCTAGAATTGGGGATAGAAAAGGCAATCGAAGGGAATATCGTCACTTCCCAGCTCCTTCATCACGTCCTCCAATCATCTCTGGAGCCGTATCAACAGTTATTCATCATCAGCGAAAGGGAAGATCCACGCGTGGAATCGGGGCGTGACGACCTGTCCCGAACGATCGTCAGATCCATCGAAGGAATGAATAAGATCAAGTTCGCGAGCACCAGGAGCGACTTCTATATCATCTTGGGATCGACGGAATGGGCCGGAAAGGCCCTCCGGACTCTCTACCGCATCCGGCCCCAAATGTGGTGGACGAGCAAGGCCCTCTTCGTGCTCGACGCTCCTCCAGCGGACGACTGGATCGAGGAGGCGGCCGGTCTCATGATCCCAGTCAAAAGGCCCTCCGGACTCTCTACCGCATCCGGCCCCAAATGTGGTGGACGAGCAAGGCCCTCTTCGTGCTCGACGCTCCTCCAGCGGACGACTGGATCGAGGAGGCTGCCGGTCTCATGATCCCAGTCACGGTGGCGAGGAGAATCCGTCCAGATGCATATGCCTTCTATGCCGTCTGTCTCTTCTGCAATGACTCCCGGCCGGGGATGCAATACGTCCAGACGTGGAGGCCGGGATTCTTGGATGTTTCCAAGAATCTCTACCCAGATCTTCTCAAGGATTTCCACGGGAAGGTATTCAAAGTTTCGACGACACCAGTCCAGTTCTTCTACGAATGGAC